TCACCTTAGACCCCCGTGTTAGCTGTCATCAGTCTGCCATTGTTTCGACACTGGAGCAGATGTAGGTAAGACCCTAAAGAATCGTATCGACTTGTGGAAAATGGGCATCCATTTAAAACACCACCATGTTTGTAGAGAAATTAAAACGGTTCAAGTTTTTTTTTTTTTTTAACAATCATGATTTTTTTCATAGCAGATTCAGAGTTGTTGTTTTTTCCCCCTCTCCAAGCAAAATTGGCCGAATACGATATCGGTTGCTGATTTTATTTTTGTTCATTTAAGCAAATTTTGTTTAACATTTTTTTGTAAATTTGCTCTATAACAGGTCAAACCAAAAAAAGGAAAGAAAAAGAGAATTTTTGTAGGATTAAAAATCTGATTTGATAAGGTTTCAGGTAAAAGTGTGTTATTTGAATTTGCTTACCTAAAGCTTCATCCATCAAGCCAGGAAGCAAACCTTAGAACACCAGGCACTGGAACACAGAAACAGATGAGACAGCAATTAGCATCAATTGTTAGTTTGTTTGTGAATGCTTTCTTAATTTTCCCATGAACTATGCTGTTTGAAAATGGTCTTAGGTCCCGCATTAGTGAGGTCACTTCAACACGCAGACTTTAAAAACAACCTGCAGCAACGATGAAAAAAATAGCCCAATACTTAAAAACACTGGAAGACGTCACGGAGCACGGAGTCATTCGGAAGTAAATACAGAGAACATTTAAAGTAAGCGATTATGCATTTATTTATAGCAGGGGTCACAAAACTTGGTCCTGGAAGGCTGGTGTCTTAAGAGTTTAGCTCCAACCCTAATTAAACACACCTGAACTAGCTAATCAAGGTCTTGCTATGTATACTAAACAGTTTCAGGCAGGTGAGTTGAGGCAAGTAGGAGCTAAACTCTGTAGAACACCGGTCCTCCAGGTTTATAGTGTTAGCTGCCATGGAAGCCAGCAAAATTATGCACAGGCAATATGAAAAATGAAGACAAAAGAGAGCAGAGTTTTGAAACTTGGCCACTCCAAACCTTGATGTTGTTCTCTATCAACCATTTATTGACCCCTTTTGCTGTATATTATGGATTGTTATTAGGGGTGCAACGGTTCAACTTACTCACGGTTAGGTTTGTATCACGGTTTTAGAGTCACGGTTTCGGTATGTGCTAGGTTTAGGCAAAAACTATACTGTCAAATAAAAATAAAGAAATATTAAGAAAGTGCTATCACTTTAAGAGAACGCACTGATCCAGTGCACTGATACTGTACGCTCAGCAAGCTATGTCTGCTATAGGATACTCACCAAGACGGTTACATTATTTTTGTGTGAATTTGTCCATTAAACAATACTTCAGAGAGGGCTTACTATTTGCGCGGGCTCTGAGGCGTGGGTTTGCACGCTTCGGATGAGCGCACGCATAAATCTTCTCACTGCGCCATCTGGCTCTTAAATCTTTCTC